TGTTTCTTTTGACCATGTCATCATGATGATTTTTTTTTTTTTTGGATTATGATGTCACCATTTACATTGATATTGTATGTTCTTCATACGCCTATATTATGGTTACCTAACAAATAAATAAAGGAATTTATCAATCATTTTTACTTAGCCCTTGTAGTTTTAAACTAATTAATAATTAGTCCTTTTAGTATAGAAATAATTAAATAGACCTTTGATAATTTTTTACCATCCTCATTTAGTAATTTTTTAAATTTTTCATAAAAGACCTTTTGTTGTAAAATTTTTCCATCTTACCTAATCCCTTTTTATTTATTTCAATAAGGAAAGAAAGTAAACTAAAAAAAGAGCATGAAACTTATAAAAGGATTTAATTATGAATAATTTAAAATATTAGGATTAAATATACAGTTTCTAAAACTATAAGAATATTCAATCAATTATTTTAATTAAACGACAAGCACTAATTAAGTTATAATTTACATAAATAATTCGCCTATTAATCTACTATATACTCATTGTCAACTCCTTGACTTCCTTGTTATAGTGCATGTCTGTCAATTAATTCCCCACTTTTAGCTGTAAAGATTCGAGGAAATTAACAAATATCGAGAGGGCAGAGAAGTCAATGTCAACATTGCGAAATTAACGAAAAGGATACTGATAAATCCACGGCCTTTAAGAATTAATGTATTCAATCCCAATTGGTATTATATTAGCCCATTTAATAAATGATAATCAATTTAAATAAGAAAACATGATCTGACCATTTTGTATGAAGTGAAAAATACAGTGTTAATTATATATTTTTTTTCAGTTTTAACAGTAAGGATGTTTTTATTAAGTTTTCATATACTATAGCCAGTTTTTTTAAAAAAATTATTTATTTCTTAAAAAATATAGGATAAGTATTAATTCTAGAGAAAATGATATAATTATACATTGCGTTTGGCTGATGAATTCATATAGAGTTTTGTTGTTCACATGAATCGATATAATAATAGGAGAAATCCGTAGTTGAAATTGTTTATATATATAATGATTGATACATTGTTATTTATAACATTTTATCACAATATCTTCCATGAAAACAATTAAATTACTGTTTTGAAATAAAAAAAGATAGAAATAATAAAAGACAGAAAGACATAATTTATTGTGAGAATTAATTTTAAGACCAACAAAAGAATATTTATTTTAAATAGTTATTTTTATTTCTTCAACCAAATATATTATTATTTATTTTATGTTATATTAAAATATTAACCAAATGCAGCCCTAATAAAAAGTAATAATTTCTCAAATTCGTAAATAGTAAAGACTACATAAAATTATTAATCTCCGAGCCCCGCAAGCACTGCCTGCAACCAGTATATAATACAGAAGGCTGAGCCATTTCTCTGTGCTACCTCTATTAGTGTTGATAATGGCTAGTTGCCTGGTGTTACTCGTCCTGGCTTTCTTCGTTTTCTCAACAAATGTAGATGCACAAGGTGATATTTTATTTATTTATTTCGTTTTTTCCTGTTTCAATACATGGATCGATGCCCACTCCTAAAATCTTGCGTCTAACTATTTCAAATTAATTCTATGCTTAAAATTTGTAGTTACCGTTTATTGTCAAGCATCCGATTACAACAATGAAGTATTGATGCAATGGATGTATGCCAACGGCATATCCTGTCAGCCAATTACTAGCAGCACCACAACTCCTTCAATTAGCAGCAAAAGCAGTAAGCTTTGAGCACCAAGATCTTACCTTTTTTCTTTCTTTTATGTTTCTATAGACCCCCACTTCGAGTTTATGTCTAACCATTTCAAATTGTATGCTTGAAATTTCTAGTTGAAGTTGATTGTGAAGGATCCAGATTTTACGTGGATGAAAATGTTTTAGAATGGATATATGCCAACAACATACCCTGTCATCCAATTACTAGAAGCAAAAAGAGAAACAAGCTTCCCATTATACTTGGAACCGTCATTCCAGTTTTCTGCATTTTCTGGGCTATTGTGGGGTTTATATTGCACCACAAGAGAAAAACAGCAGCCATTGCTGCAATAACTACAGGTTAGCAAGCAGAATATTATCTATAATGTCATATACTTTGACAGCATTACAAGTATTATTTTAATAAAAAGAGTTTGAATCAAATATCTCGATCACATTAATTAATTATATCAGTTTAGTTACAACTCGTTTAATTTTCTTGGATCGTTAAGGACAAGTTGACGGTGCCAATAAGCATACTCAGGGATCACTAAGTGCCGATGGGATCAAGATCAACATCCACGACCAAACAAGTCAAGGGATTGGTGATCAATATCCACAGCAGCAACAGGAAAGCAACCATGCCTGAGATGAGAAACACCTGACTTTCTTTGCTTAAATATTATTTGGACATATCATTTCTTCTTTCAAATATTGTATTCAAGCTTTCCGAAGTCGTTGATCATATGTTGAGGACTGATCATCATTGACATGACTTGTGTTGCAGCAATTAGCTGGTTCGAAAAATTGTACCTTAATTAGTTGTGTTTGTATTGTGTTCTTTGGAACCCTTTTTCCAACCATGTTTTAACATGCATGAGTTTCAATTTCGGATCTTTCGATAAATTTGCAAGTTTTCCACGATTCTGAATTAGCTTTTTTTAAACTACAGTTATAATACAACAAGTTAAAATTCACCCCAAGAAGCCATGTATTTGTTTTACATGTAGATTTTACAGCAACAAATATTTAAAAAAAAAATGAACATGAATACTTTGAAACTCGGTGGCTTGTCAAGAAACCTGGTGGCTGTCTCTGTTTCTGGGGTTTGGCCTTTGATCCTTTAAAATGGCCTCATTACAAGGTCCTTTTTGGTTACTCTATAAAAACGAAAACACGAAATCAGATAAATATACATTCATCAGAGACCGATCGAGTCCTGGATTGTAGCCATGATGACCAACTGAGCAGCCACTGCCAAATCTGATTTTGCATGGGGTTTTTTGTAATGGTGTTATTCACTGGTACAATGGTGAACTGACATCAGTGGCCATTTGCATAAGGGAAGGACTATATATAGAATTTGATGATTGTGAGCTGAGATCGGATTTTCCTGGATGGCCTTTGAAGTACTATGCGAATCTTCTCTATGAGAAATCTGATTTAGCAGGGAGCTTCGTTTTCAGTGTTGAGTCTTCTTGGACGGGCTGAAGAGGAAGAAAAGTCTATGGGCGTGCTTTTCTGGATGGAGCGGCCATCTCCCGTAATCTTTATGATGGGACATTGAATAAGATTTGAGTTCTACAGCAGAACCGAAACCTACAGTTCCTGCTCTCTTAAATCCTACCTTGGATATGAAAGCGCTGATGCCCATGTTTACTTCGAAACCCTCCTTTTACGTTTGAACAAAACCCTTGGCTCGGGAAGTGTTCCAGTGTCAATTTGCTTTCTTTATATATATATATAGGCAGCATTTTTATAACTAGATTTGTTTTCCCCTCTCGGACATGAGCCGGATAATCTTTTAAGATGTTTTTTTTTAAAAAAAAATAAGGGATTAAAGCACGAAAAAAAAAACTATATTAAACGAGAAACAGTGGATTTAATAAGATCATGGTACTAGGTCAAAAACAACCCTGATACACTATCATGAATAATCCAATTATTTCTATTAATTAGGTTTTTAATAAGATTATAATTTACTAACTAATCTGCTACTGCTTTAACCTCTCTTTTAAGATGTTAAACAAGAATGGTAGAATAAGAAAATTCCAGACTTGAGTGATTGGTGCAATAAATAAGATTAATAAAAAATGCTACAATAATAAATAAATTAATAAAAAACATAGTAACGAATAAAAAAAATTCAGATGTGAACTTATCTAAATTATCAAACAATCTAACATTGAAGGATTAAAATATAAAAAATATATAAAAATAAAAAAACTCATGTTAACCGAGTAAACTTACAAACTTCACGACTATGAACATAGAACTAGGATAATCCCATGTAAAAAAAAAAATTGAATGATAAAATTCAAATAAATCAATTTAAAAAAGGATAAAAAATCAGCTTATATTAAACTTTGATATTGATGATTTTGGTTATGAACTCGAGATTAACCCCATAAAATGTAAATCATAAAAAATAACACAGCAAAACTAAGAAAAAAAATAAGCAAACCTAAATTTGATCTAATCTCTAAAACTCATAACCCGTAAAATTCTAAACTCTGGTTCAATCATGAAAGTTAATTCCCAGCTAATTTAATTTTGAAGGAAGAAATCATGAAAAAAAAATATATGAATTAAAAAATTTGCAAAAGCATAAAGGATAAAAACAAAGAAATGATGATAAAATTTGATAGAAACAATTTAAGGAAGATGAAATTATTAAAAAAAATAAAAAATGATCCCAAATAAAACAAATAACAATTAAAAAAAATGAGAACAAATTTAAAAAGTTAAAAAATCATAGGGGGTGAAATTGAAAATATTTGTGATAAGGATGAAATTAAAAAATATTTATAATTTTATAGGTTATTTAATTTTTTAAAGACATGGATCAAATGTTAAGGGAAAATAAATTGTAAGGGTTGATCCTAATTTTTTAAAGAAAGAAAAAAATAAATGGTCATTGTTGCTAACCTAGATGCGTGTCTAGTCCACGGGCCACTTTAACACCTCAAAGGTGTCATGATCTTTCAAATGTAGTTATGAAAGGTAGTGTTTGATGATTGAATAGTCTCACACATACCGCCCAAATAATATTAGACCATCCATACATGCTAGCATTTTTTTAATAATATTTAATATATAAAAATTATAAAAAAGTCCTTGAGTAACCTCTAAATATATAATAAATTTGATGTTAAATGAAAAAAAAAATATTTGTTAAAGAATTATATTGATTTTGTCTTAAAAGAAATTAAAATAAGTATAGTAATTTATAAAACCAAAGTAGCAATTTTATATTTTTTAAATAATAGCGTTAGTAATTTTATATTTTATATAAATTGAAATGACTAAAACGTCACTAAATAATAGGCATTATATTTTTTTATTCTAGCGTCAAGTTAGTAATTTTAATATGCAATAAAAAACAAAATAATGAATTCAACCTGTAAAAAATAATTGTTTCATGATAAAAAAATAATATTATCACAATGCCTCGGTCAAAGATTTTTTTGGGTCAAGAACATTTGTGCCATTTACTATTCCAATGAATAGTGAAATATTTCTTAGGCTACAATAACCTCTTCTTCTCCTTTAACTTTTTTTAATGTCTCATCCAAAATTCGAGATGGTATAAAATTTAAATCATAAATTAAGTGAATTGACTAACATATATAACATATATTAATGGGTGAACTCAAGTTATGGTTTAAAAAATAAATCAAAAACTTTCAAAAAAATAGTAAAAAGACATTTTTTATATAAAAAAATAATTCTAAATAAAATTCAATCTAAACCAAGCTCCATCTTAACAAGTCATCAAACTAACTTGTGAATCCAAGCCAAGTTTTACATAGAAATGTTAGAATTTTTGTTAGTTTTAAATTAAATGTTTTCATGTATATTTTTTTTTACCAATTTGATATAATAATACCAAAAACAAATTTTATAAAAATATATTTTTAAATAAAAAATATTTTAAAAAATAACATCAACCATATTTCAAATTATTCAATTAATAAATGGGTTTGCAGTATTGAAATTTCTCTTTATATGTGTTGAAGCCAAAGCCCTATGAGGTGTACCTCTTGGTCTTCGTCTCTCTCTGTTTCTCTTTCCTTCTGTCTAAATTGTAATGATGAAGCCCTTTAATTCCATTCTTTTAGCGGAATCTGAAGAAAGGTCCTTGCGCTCTCCGGCGTCCATGTTTTGTAGCTTGCTCTCCTCCTTATATTTGTTTTCTTTTCCTGCTGTTGGGCAGGTCCTCCATTCACTACGAAAATCTCAATTATTTTAATATTTTTAATTTTAAAAATATGTTTTTTCTATTGTTTTGATCTAAAAATAAATAAATAAATAAATATTATTTTAATATATTTAAAAAAAATATTTCGAAAATCACCTGTGATCCGATTTTCCAAGCTTTTTTCAGATTAATTTCTAAACCGGATCTTCGGACTAGGACCACAGGAGGAGGAAATGGCTAAGGGTTCTTGGATATTGGGCTATTATCACCAGTTTCATGGGCTTATTTTTCAAAGCAGGCTAGTGAAGTCCACTGCCACTAAATTAATTGTAAGTGGGTCAAATGAGGCCGAGATCTGTTCTGAGTTATGGGCTTCTAGCCCATCCTGCTTCTCCTCCTCCTTGTTACAGTGCTGAAACATGACAAAACGACAAGCAGTGACTGAAGATGCGTAGGTGTAGAAAAGACAGAAGACACAATAGAGGACTCGTTGTTTGGGTCAACGACCTAAGAGAACAGCAATACGACAGCGAAAAGCAGCAGAGCACGCCACTCTTACAAGGGCTTCAAGTCTTCACTGCTCATGGAAGCTTAAGCGGCTAAGTATAATTTGTTTGATTTCCCATTTCTGTAGCTGTCAGTAAATTTTAATGCTGATTATGATGATATAGATTGTGTGGAAGCCTTAACTTTCTTTGAAGATCAAAACCCATCAATCAATCAGCCTTTAGTTTTGTTATCTGGATTTAGCTATCCATCCATCATGATGAGAGACGGCAAGTTAAAACAAACTTGCGATGTGCCTTCTTCATCAGCAGAAGTAATAGGGAACAACCTAGACCTCGTTACTGACATCCTGCTCCGTGTTCCGGCAAAACCACTCCTTAAGTTCAAGTGTGTGTCAAAGCAATGGCTTTCTTTAATTTCAGACCCTAAATTTTGTGCCTCTCATACTCACCACCAACAGCACCCTCTGCTCTCTTCCTGCTCAACTACTTGGCTTCCAGCCCTCAGCTAATTGTCCCTTTAAAAAATGAGCCTATGCCAATCACTATGCCCTTCTTGGACCATCTAAATATTCCTGGATTCTGTATTGATCAGTCGTGTAATGGGTTGCTTCTCTGCTCTTCAACTTGTTTAGACTCAGCTGATTTGGGGTACTGGTTTTTTATTTGTAATCCCACCACCAATCATTTCAAGAGGATTTCTCACCCTGTTCACAAATTTGACAAGTTTCATCATCCACCTGTTCTTTGTTTGGCTTTTGATCCATTAAAATCATTCAACTATAAGGTTGTTTGTTTCTACCAAGTTGTTTCTGGTGGATATCAAATTGATGTATATTCGTCGGAGACTGGGTCCTGGGGTTTAAATCAAATTCCTTTCGTAAATCCTCCTTCTTTGAAGATTCATGAGTGGGTTTTTTGTAATGATGCTATTCACTGGTGCAGTCTTGAAGAGAACTCGCAATATTTTGATGTTTCTAGTGAGAGCGTGAATATTCTGCCAATGCCTCCGAGAGGTCAACTAGACATTACGTACTTTGGTGGTTCTCGAGGCCATTTGCATATGGGCGTAGGCATCAGCCGTTTAATCTTAGAATTTGATATTTGGGAGCTGAAAGAGGATTATTCAGGATGGTTTATAAAGTATCATCTGGATCTTCATTCTATGAGAAGAGTGTTGGCCAATCGATGTCCGTTGTCAGTTTTGAGCCTTATCCGGGCTGAAAAGGAAGATGAGTCAACGATTGTGTTTGTTATGGATGGTAGAGCAATATCCTATAATCTTTATGACAGGAGATCAAAAATGCTCTGTGATTTGCTGCAGAAAACCAATCCTTATAGTGGTTATTTAAAGTTTCATGCTTATGAATACTTTGAGACACTTATTCATGTTTGAGCACAGCAATTGTACTGTCAGTAATTCAACCATCAACCTGCTTAGTCGTACCATCTGCAGCATTGAAATTTCAGTTCTTCCATGTAGAAACCAGGCTCCACCAGTTGAAGTATTTTAGTCTGTTTTGATCTAGAGAATAATTATAGATTTCCTTATCCAAGAACCACTATTCTTGCTGTGCTGGTCATCTTCACTTCAAAGAGATGAAAGAGGCAGTATATCCAAGAAGTGAGCTGTGGAAGAAAATCGAGTCCATGGAGGAAATGATCAAGCTTGGGGAATTGGGAATTTTGAAATGAAGGAATTACGGAGGTGCTTAACCAGCTTACCATGGAGAGTCAGCAATACCACCTGTCCAATTAAACCCTTTAGATGTTGAAAGAGGCAGTTTATCTGTTCCAAGCTCGGAGATTTACCTCTCTGCTAGAAGTTTGAACCACATTTAAGGGCAATTTCACAGATTTTTTCTTTTTTCTTTTTAGCTTTTCAGCATGGTTGTTTGTGAGTTCTCAATGAATATACGGTTTTATCTCTGACAAGAAGGATTTTGCTATTAAATGTGACTAAACTAAAATGCTGTTCGTAGCCAACTAGATTAGCAGATTGTTTCAAACTAAAGAGGTTGTCGGAATGTCAAATTTCAAGGTTACTTTCAGTTTGTTTGTTTTAAAACTGTTCATGAAAAGATTTAAAGTTCTTTTTATTGTTTTATTTAAAATTATTTTTTGAATATTTTCAGTTCGGTATCATATATTAGTATTAAAAATTAATTTAAAAAATAAAAATAACATTATTTTAATGTATTTTTAAATAAAAAAACATTTTCAAAAAAACCATGTATAAAACTGCAATCCCTGCTTTCATGCTCAGTTTCTTCATCCTGTTAAGATCATGAGTAGGAAAAGTAGATTGACATTTGAGTGAATCGACAAACACATGATATGTGCATTTTTTTTTTTCACTTGGGACATTGAAAAAACCAAGTCGCTTGGATTATGGATTCTGGGCTGCTAGAAATTAAGTAAAGATCTTGAGCTTCTACAAGCCTTCGAGTTGCATCAGAGTTATTTTTTTAAAATCAAGAGCTATCTCTTTCACACATAGAGGTTCGGACAAGTAATTGTTTTATGTAATCAATTTTTTGAAACAAACTGAAGATCTAAACCAATAACAAAACCATCGATTGTCAACGAGAAAAAAGCGAAATATTGAGCAAAGAATCCTGAACGTGAACAAGAAGGAAGAACAGAGGAGGAAAAGCCCCAAAAAAATCACCCTTTTCGTGTTAATTTTTTGGAGAAACTAACAATAAAGCCATGAATGATGACTAGGAGTTTTTGAGCAACGCGTACCTGACATAAATAGCAACCTGTATTTTAAAAACCAGAGAAAATCTTGCTGTGATTAGTAATTTATCTCCATGAATTTTGACGTTGTCGAGTAAGTGTGACTGGTTATGGATTAAGGAGGAGGAAGAAGTCCTGTTACAAAGACAAGCAGTAAGTGATTAGTGATGGAGCATGGTCCTCCACAGAACTTCCCATCCTGTCTCAAACAGCAAGCTGTGTAATAAAATAGAAGCATTGATCCCATTTTCAAGAAGGAACTACATGAAATAAATAAGGAGATGGATTCAAGAATCGATCCTCATGCTCGAAATATTGAAATCTTTTTGGTTTTTCACCGGTTCTCCTTTTTTCTCTAATTCCAATGCTAGAGATCTCTCTAGGGGTTGAATCTCTTTTGCTTTTAAATAAATATTCAATTTTATTCAATAAAGTTTAAACAGCATGAAAATTATAAACTCATTTAATTCAATATCATGACATCACATGCATTGATTTCCTTTTTCTTTCCTTTTTTTTATGTTTTTATGTGATTGGAAAAAATTCTAGATTTTTTAGTGATTAAGTCATGAAAACTTCAAAGAGAAATTAGCTTTTCATATTTGCATGTGAATGCGAGCTTTTCTTTCTAGGCTTGATATTTTTTGCAAAACAAGTAATAGAAATCCTTTAATATCTAAGCCAATAATTATAAGAGAAATAATGTATAATAAAGAGAAAATGGCAAGAGAATATAAGAGAAATTGTATGCTTCGTCTATGAATTTGAATGAAGTTCTTGGATGAGCTTGTGTTTGTGCGAAGCTCTTGTGTTGAGTTAGCTTGAAATAGTTATATTTGTTTCTAGCTCCTTGAATATTTACCTAATAATCAAGTTTTTTATAAATCTTAATCATAAAAATTGATTTCTTAGATCATAAAAAACAGTGTCGCAGTTACCTCAATATAATTTATAGAAAGGGATATAAAAAAAAAGTTGGATAGTAAAGAATAGTTGTATAGTCATCTCAATATGATGTACAGAAAAAGATATTAAAAAGAAGCGAGAACCATAAATAACAATGGACTAAAAAAATAGTGTATGCTCTACTTAAAAAAAATTACAAGTGCTTGATAAAGATACTTTGAGAATAAATAGATTGAAGTGCATGGCTCCTAGGATGAGCAAGCTAGAGACCAAGAAAAGAGGGAGAAAAAAAGGTGTTCATAAGAGATTAGGGAAAGTTTGGTAACGTGTCGTGGGTGAGATTTATCCATAGTCACATATAATACCATTTAATTAGAAGAAAAAAGTATTTTATGGTGGTAGGACTTATCAATTTTGCAGTTGTGTTGCAGTTTTGGAGAAGCAGCATTTAGGTGCTTTTCGTGTGAGAAAAATTGATGAACAGTAAAGCTATGATTCGCTGTTTTGGCTGGATATCAACCCAAAGATGAAAATACATTAAATAGAATCCGATCTGATAAAATAAAAATAAAAATATATTTTTTATTTTAAATTGTGTTTTATTTAAAAAATTAGTATTAAATATTATTTAATAACAATATATAAATTAAATGGAGATCGCTTAATGATATAATATTTGAAGAATTTGATTGCAATTTCAATTTTGTTCCTAATTATATTTTATCTGATGTTGTTGCGCTCTTAAAAATTTATGAAAACTGTAATTCTTGTAGGATATATTTTATACGTAATGGAATTGTAAATAGTTTAATAAAATAATATAAAATATTTTATATAAAGTATTATTTATTTCATGAGGTAATAGAAATAGTTAAATTTATAATATTTAAATTAAAAATCATCAATATATATATATATATATATATATTATTTTATAACCTCAATTTGAAAAATATTTTTTTAACCAAACACATTAAATTATTTTTTGCTCAACCTCAATTTTAATCATAATTTTAACCAAACATATATTTTTTTAAATCAACCACAACTAAAAATATTTTTTATAAAATAATTTTTTTTAAACTATAATAATAACAATAATAGAAATCACAATACCAAATACTAGAATCAATATGAGAGACAGATAATATGTCTAAAAGAGAGACAAAAATACAAGAATCAATATGAGAGAGAGATAATATGTCTATAAGAGAGAAAAAAATACACGTGAAAGAAAAGAGAAAAAAAAAAGAGAAACAAACAAAACATGGGGTTGGTTGTCTCTCCGAGTAGGTTTTTTGGCATTATTATTATGTAGTAAATGAAAGGTGTAATTTTATTTCTTTAAATATTAAAAAATAATATAAATTATATATTAAATTTAATCTAATAACTTAAAATTTTAAATTAATATAATTTATTAACATCATATTAAAACTTTATTAATCATATAATCATAAATTTAAATTTTAACATTTTTATTCTATAAAATTAAGCACAAAATACTTAACATATACAAATTTTAAACTTAAATATTTTTTATTAAAAAAATATATTAAAAAATAATATAATAATATCTTGAATTCACATTAAACAACTTTTAGATTAAAATAATTTTTTATTAATAATATTGGTTAACTTAGTCCCTTAAATTCAAACTTTTAATAATAATAATAATAATGATAATAAAAAAATAAAAAAAAATAGAGATTAACAAGGTGAGAAGTACAACATTAACAGATGAATTAACAGGATTAAAAAAACAATCTAGTACGATATAGCTGACTTCTTAACCACCATGAAAACGATGCCACCATATTAAATTTCAAAGCATGAGACTAGCTGGGCCAGTGCCCGACTCTGCCCCAGACAAATAAACCCGACCGCATTGATATTTCAGCAATCTCAATCTCTCTGCCACCGTCCACGGTTCATTCCCCCCTTCAAATACATACAAAAATTATTAAATGAAAAAAACAAAAAAACAAAAAAAAAATTATTAAATGAATTTAATTCATTATTTACGAATTATTGACCAACCAATGAATTTCTTCTAAATCACTGGATTTATTGGAGTCATCAATTAAGTTAATTAATTATATTTAGATTTTAAGTATCTTCACATTTAATATCGCAATTATAATTATGGGATGAGATTTTATTTTGATAATTATAAAGTAAAATAATTAAAATCATAATCAAGTGGGAAATTCAATAATATTAGATGGTGGATCACTAGATTCATCTTAAAAAAAAAAAAAAAAAAAAAAAAAAATTAATCCACTAATACTC